AACCCTAAACCCTAAACCGCTATTGTCCAATTTTCAGGGGTTCTTGTGGGTGGTCATACTCAAGGGAGCCAGGCTCAGATTCTCTTCATGGACCTGGGATGCAGAACGCCAGCCGCAGGAACCTTGAGCTCAAACCGATCAGAGCCAAAGACACTCTAGCCTACACCCCTCCGACCCGGACGATTATGCTGAACATCTACACCTCAACAACCCTAAACCCGTGAACTTGAAGCCCCGACCTCCGCTGCTTAGTGCGTCTTCCGGCAGGGCAGCCGCATCAAGGACAAGGTATGGCGCAGCGGCCTCAATGTGACAGAGCTGTCCGCTTTGACTTCGGCACGGGGAAGGCTGCTCGTATTTCGGCAAATCCACAACGACTTCTCTGGCTCCTTTTGTGGTGGTTTAAATCTCCCCGCATGTTAAGGGACCCCTTCGCACACCAACGCCTTTCTAGAAATCAAGGGCTCCACAGAGAAGTCCCTCTTCTATGTTCCTCAGGCAAGGGCAGCAGAAGCCTTCAGAAGCCCCCTAAACCCTAAACCCTAAACTCGCTATTTTGGGTCTTTGTCCAACCCAGAAGCTTCTCTGTTGCCCGCTCATCAGGCAGCCTACCATCGTCTTCAACCAAGCAGGAGGCATGCCCCAGGGCGGCGTCAACATGGTGTGTGGCCCTCAGAGATTCTCCCATCGTCGCCGTTTTTGGTTGCGGGTTTTGCTTCTTAGTCCCCAGTGCTGCGCCTCGTTATCCAAGGCCGATGCAACTGCAGAACCAGCAGGGGCAGATGACAGGTGCCCGGTTTCGCTTCAAGCTCTGTTGTGGTCTAGTGGTTTCTGCAACGAGCATGGGTGAAAGCTTCCCATTTAATTACGTTCTACTGGCTGCTCGACCAACTAGAGGCATCCTGGATCTCCAGAGTTCGCTTTGGATCTTCCGTGTTGAAAGGCCCTGGTTCTTTCAAAGGGTCTGTTTATGGCATCGTAGAATCACCACAGTCAGAATTCAGGGGGCCCCTCCCTGCTTCGTAGACCATTCTCCAGGCAGGTTTCTCGGAGCTTCCGGAGTTTTAAACCCTAAGCCTCAAGCCGCAAAGACTGCAAGGTGTGACAGCCGGCGGTGCCATGCCGAAGTTTGGTGGACCGCAACAGCAGATGGTCGTTCCGCCCCGAGGGTGTCGGGGGGGAATTACTGCCTTTGAGGGTTCCCTCGTAACGACCCTTTGCTAAAAGGCAAGGAACAGAATCACTGGCCAGATCAAGGATGCCCTGAAGAAGGTTTCGGTATTTCAGGGTGTACAATGTATGACTTAAAGTATAGATGTGTCGTGGCTGCATCCCGTCTATCATGGCCTGCCGCGTGCCCAAGAGAGTGAAGCAGCAAAGTGATGTGAGTTCCAGTCCGCTGAAACAGCTACGCTCGAATATGCCTTTCCTTGGCGAGTATGGCCTTCGTGAGCAGCAGCCGTTCCTACCCTCTTAGAGACTCTTAGTTCTGACTTTAAAAGGGTCTTGGAGCCCTGTGCTCTCCGTGCCCAGGTGGTCCCAATGATGCTTGCAAACACGGGCCAATACGGCAACGGGCAGGCTCGGAGGGGCCAACTTGCTGCAGCTAGCCGGCATGATCCGCCCCGTTTGTTCTAAAGTTCGTTTCGGGTGCCGGTGCGAAGTCTACCCTGCCTCAAGGCAATCTATGCACGTCCCGAAGAACAGAAACGTTTTCTGCAAAAATTGGACAGTTGAAAACCCCAAATCCGGACCATCAACCATCAACCTTCAACTGCAAGCCGCAAGCCCTAAACCCTAAACCCTACACCCCTAAACCCTCATTACCCCAGAGTCATAGTGCATGGGCTTGGGGCTCAGGTTTTGGGTTGCAGTGCCTAGAGACTCCAAAACCCCTTAATTAGGGAATATACCTTAAATCATATTCGGGATCCTTTATCCTAAACCCTAAACCCTAAACCCTAAACCCTAAACCCTAAACCCTAAACCCTTAATTAAGGGGTTTTGGAGTCTCTAGGTGGTCGGGGTGTCGGGCCTTGCTGCAGGACTCCTGGAGCCTCGACCGTCGAAACCCAAAGCCCTACATCCTAAACCC